AATGAATATATTGCACAGTTATTTTTCAGAAATATTACCACGGAATAACTCTTCCGAAATCGAGGTTTGCATCACTACATAAATTAAAAAACCTGACCGCCACATAAATTTAGAAAATAAGTTGAGTTTGGATATATTATTTTTAATTTTACTGGTGCATTACGTTCGTTATGTAAGTCAGAAGTTTCTTTCAGAAGAGATCAGTGATCCGATCCTACATCCTCCGGTCACTCGCAAAATTTTACATTTGTTTAGATAATTGAATCGCAAATCTTGCAGGCACCAAAAAGGCAACGTTAAGAGGGCGTTGTCAATCTGGAAAGATATGCAGCTGATTCAGCGCAAGGGAACAAAAAGCCACCAAAACGAAACGAGACGAAATAACGAGCGCCATTGAGCGATTACGGCGACTTGACAAGTACAAATTGGCCAAATTCTTTGATAAAACATCCTGACTACATTTGAAGATCAATTATCTCCTGCATGGGTATCTAAGGCATCTAGCGATCACCTGCAAACTCAATTACGCCCTTTTCCATGCAAAAACGAAGCGCGGATAAGGGGGCCGAAATGGAGCAAAAAAGACAGCCGAAAAACGCGACGGCAAAACGATAGTAACACGTTCGAGAAAATTACTGAGAGAGGGGAGAGGGGCGTCCGAGGGTGACAGGAACTGAGGCACCGCCAGAAAATTCTCAAAATATTTAAGTATAAAGTAATAACACCAATCGAGAGCGAGACATGCAGCGGGTNGGGGGGGGGGGGGGGGGGGGTTCCAAGAAAGTATTTGGATTATTGAAGGTTGCCGGTGAATGATCAGATGAAGAAAAAAAACCGAGCGGTGACATTTCTGGCATTCCCTCGTAAGCCTTCGGCAACTCAGAACTTGCTCGTAGCAGCAGTGGCGTGGCGCGTTTTGCGATATGTATCGATTGATCCGCCACTTAAACCTCCGAGAAAGGATCGATAAACAGGGTGTTCGCGACGAACATCTTAATATTCGATTCTTTACCATAGCTTCAAATGAGAAAATATCGAAAATCGACCATTCACGCGTTGCCACTACGTAGCAGCCAGGCTGCAAAATGTGGCGGGAATGTTAAATTTATCGTTCACGTTCATGTGTTATGAGGCTCCCATTTTGGTGAAATTAAGAGGGTTGGTTATGAAGGATAGTCCTCTGATAGTTAGATGTCTATGACGTGTGGCATCAATTTTTGATACGTTTCTGTTATTCGTCTCCGATTGGCTCTCGTGGCCCATAGCATCACTAACATGAAACTTGGATTTTTTGCCGAGGAAGGCACTGAGAATCACCATTGGAATGCGGGGTCAAGCTCCCCTACTTCCGTTTATTGTCGAAAAATGACCAATTTGCACGCGAAAAATTTTATCGATTCATGTGAGAGTGTTAAATGAACTGAGTTCGCAGTATTTTTCATTATTTTTTTCTGAATTAGGAAATTGTAGAAAAATAGATTTAAAAGTGAGAAAGTTTGCCGCATTGTGACGTCACCTGGCGACTTTTATTAATTAAACACAGTTAATTCAGCAGATTAGGTTATTTTGTCTTATTTTCTTCACTAATTGTTTAACTTAGAAACCAATTATCTACTCCGTCTCAAATCTCTAGGTAGTTTTATTTTAAAAATTAAATTTACAAAATTGCAGACACCTGCAAATTCTCCATTGTTGGAAAAAAACACGACCAACAAGACTTACACTCTACCCAGTTCTAGATAGTTTTTACTGTCGCAGATTCTCCTTTAATTTCATGTGAATCTCCATCTGACTATCGTCAATCAGGAGGTAATACACATGAAATTGGGAGAAGAACAACTACGGGGGGAATTATCTGGAATGGGCCAGGAATAACCCGGAACAGTGCGCAGGATTACACAGAGTTTTCATAGTGTATTTTTCAAAATTTTCAAGTTAGAAAGACTAATTGTATTTAAAAAGGTACATTCTGTCTACACACAATTTCCCCGACCCGAAAAGACGCGCAGAGACCAAGAAAAAGATCGTCTACGCCGGCTCCCGACTTTAACGATGAGAACGTCGGAAATAAAGTGAAAAGGGGATAAATTAACCACGATTTGAATGAATTAAGAACTGGAAATTGGAGCGAGATCCTCGGCCAGGAAGAACAACGTATCCGCCGCGGGATTCCCGAGGACGTTGCGCGCTTTTGCGGGGGCTCGCCGGACCGGGATTGGGAGTAATAAAAGCGGGCACGAAGGAATTCAGAACCGCGGAGCGTGCGAGCGCGAGTCGCCCGGACAGCGGTCAGCACGGGAACGGAGTAAAACAAAATAAAACAACTGAACACGAAATTAACTATAAATAAATAGGCGCGGTAAATATAGTCTGATTTAACGAGTGCCGCGGCCCGGGCGGTTTTCGATTTTCGGTGCCCCGTTCCTTCTTCGGGACCGATGCTCCGGTGATTCGTGTCCCACTCCGCACAGTGGAGCGAGTCCACGGGAGAGATCGGACGTGATTTAGAAATTTTAAAAGCCTAAATCGTAGTTGGTCAAAAAAAAGTAGAAGTTTGAAAAAGGCTTTCTTGGTTTTTCCGTAAAGTTTCCTTTGAAAAGCATCCTAAATCGAAGCGGTCGAATTCAAAATAAAATAAAACTCGAAATTTGGAGTCATAGACAGAGAATTCAATCCTAATTCTGCGTTTGTTCCACTGTGCGCTGTTGTTCACTACCGAGGTGGAACTACCGATTTATTTCGTCAACGTTCTTTTAATGGGAAATTGGCAGGGGTCCGAAATTTGATGATTTTCATGTGTAAATGGAAACTAGTTACTGGTGTAAAGGCAATAAGTTGGAATTTTTTAGCCAACGTGCGTTAAAAATCAGCATAAAGCTTAAAATCTCAATACAGAGGGTAAAAGCTCAGAGGAAATGGTTGTAACTAGTGTAGCACCAAACGGCGTATCTCTTTGGGGGAAAATTGTGCTCATTTGAGCTTTTTCCCTCTATACTATTGAGATTTTCAGCTTTATGCTGATTTTTAACGCACGTCGGCTAAAAATTTCCAATCTGCTATGATACATGAAAGCGTTTCAATGGGAAATGCCACCTTATGACGTCACAACGTGGTAAATTTGTTTACATGTGAGCCTAAATTCCCAAAATGAAATAAAAAAATATTGAAAAAAACACCGAGAACTCAGTTCAGCAAGCACTTTCATTTGAAGCAATTAAATTATCTCGTGCAAACCCTCCCTTAGAAGGAAAGTTCAAAACATCTCAAACTCTATGACTTATTCCACCAAGAGGTAAAGGAAGTAGAGCTCAATGTGGAGCATTTCGTTGCTCCTCTGACGTAAGGGCGTAGCTCGATTCCCTCGTGAGCCCTGTTCTCCGTATAACTCTATGCTTTTCGGGGCTCATGTAGAAATTGAGATACGCTCTTTCGTCAGAGGAGCGAGGATTTGGTCGAGGAATGCGAGGAAACGCACAACGTGAGCGGTGCCTGCCCCGTGCTTGCCATTAGAGCTCCAACCCGAGTTGGTCCGCTAGGCCATCTCCCCATTCCCTATTTCCCATTCGGACTCATCTATTCAATTAATACTCTCTAAACACTCTAAATGATGACTCCAGCGCCGGACGAGTGGCGCTCACGCACTGAGAAAGGTAATTTCCAGCCGCACGACTCCGCTCGCACCGTTTCGGGATGATGTCACGCCTCGTTCACGCGTGATATCGTCACCTTCCAGGCAAAGTATCACAAGCGCCATGCGACGTTTAAAAATTTCCGCCGCCATTATATTTTTTTACAGAGAAATTGTTCAACGAACCTGTCCGAAAATTACACCGAATTTTCTTTGTGCTGCCGATAAAATTTAGTGAAATTTTCGAACAGATTCAACCAACAATTTCTCAGTAAAAAAATAAAATGGCGGCGGAAATTTTTAAACGTCGCATGGCGCTTGTGATACTTTGCCTGGAAGGTGACGATATGATGCTGTCCCGTTTCCCTGTGCCGAGGAAAAACGCCGTATCGACATTCGAACGTTGCGAAATCTCCTTCAATAAAATATATTTTTGAAGAAATAAATGAATTTTCGTTCTTTGGAGAATTTACATAAATTTCATTTCGTCGTCTGCGACTGATTTATGGAATGAGTTCGCAGTACTTTTCATGATGATGTCACGCCTCGTTCACGCATGATATGATGCTGTCCCGTTTTTCTGTGCTCAGGAAAAACGTTGTATCGATATTCGAACGTTGCGAAATCTCCTCCAATAAAAAATATATTTTGGAGGGAATTCATAAATTTGTCTCGTCCAATATGGAGAATTTAAACAAATATTGCTTCGTCCAAGACTGCTATATGAGCTGAGTTCGTAGTATTGTTCATAATTTTTTTCTGAAATGGGAAATTTTACAGGAAAATGATTTAAAATTGAGAAAATGTGCTTTTGGAGGAAATTCATGAATTTTTCTCGTTCAATGGAGAGTTCACACACATTTTATTGCTTCGTCTGAGACTGCTTCATGAGCTGAGTTTGCAGTGTTGTTCATAATTTTCCTCTGAGATGGGAAATTGTATAGGAAAATGGATTTAAAATTGAGAAAATGTGCCTTTTGAGGAAACTCATGAATTTTTCTCGTTCCATGGAGAGTTCACACACATTTTATTGCTTCGTCTGAGACTGCTTGTGAGCTGAGTTCGTATTTTTCATAATTTTTTTCTGACATGAGAAATCGGAGAAAAATTGATTTGAAAGTGAGAAAATGTGCCGCCTCATAACGTAATCTGGCGGCATTTCCCATTTAAACGCATGTATTTTAGCAGAATCGGTTATTTTGTCATATCTCCTCCAATAATTGCTCAATTTATGAGTCAAGGATATCTTCGCGTTCAGTCAACTCAGTAGATTCCACTTAAACACGAAATTCATCAAATTTCAGACCCTTACAAATTCGCCATTGGTGATTTTAAAAAAGGAAACAGGATGGAAAGAATAATGGACACATACCTCTTCGTAGTCCAGCCGGGCGGTGAGGGTGAAGACACCGGTCTGGGGGTTGAGGGAGAAGACGTCGTTGGCCCAGTCGGAGATGACCGAGTACGTGACGAGGCCGTTGACGTCCTGATCCTCGTCGACGGCCTGCACTTGTCCCACTCGCGCCCCGCGCACCCAGTTCTCCGGCACGTCGAAGGAGTACGTCGCCTCCTCGAAAACCGGCGCGTTGTCGTTCGTATCCGTCACCTGTCAACATAAAACGCAGCATGTCAGTCTCACTTGATAACAATGAAAACATTATTACAATCAACGGTACAAATCCAATTACGGCCAACAAATTTGGCTCATTTAAAAAAAAAATTATAATAAATCAATTTACATTAAATATGTTTAAAAACGAGATATGTACACTAGATGTATAGGGTATATGGCTGGTAGCATAATTCAGATTTTGATGTTCGCAAAACAAGGAAATATTTGTGGAGGTTGGCATTAGGTTATACCGAGAACTATTAACAAAATATGTTTATTACACAGTAAACATTATAATTTGTTTAGGATTGAGAAATATTGTCGGAAGAAAAAAACTCGGACGTCAGAGAAAGACAGAGAGAGATATTTGAAAGGAATAGTTGGCTTGAAGCTCGGTTATTAGGTTGGATGAACGCATGCTTTACTGCTGATTGAAATAATCTAACAAGATGATAACTCCTCGCTTGACAAGTGCAAAATTTGCGCTTGAAACCACTGGAAAACACATTGAGAGTATTTTCAGCGATAACAACCGCAAATGGAGAGGATATCTGATTATCGATTCTGAAATCTATATAAGTCTTAAATAGACCTGGTGGAAAGAGAAAAAACTCAATTGAGAACAACTACAGATAAAAATGACATTCTTGAAAGCGCTCCATAGCATTGGCGCGAGGATGCGGTAGTATCCGAAACGATTCAAGTTCAGCCAGGCATCCGTCAAACTGGACTTAAATCAACGATGCACATTAAAGACCTCGGCAATTTCTCTCCAGAGTTGCAAAATTTCGATGAAAATTAAGATCATCGAATTTTACGTAAAATCTTTTGATACATTTCACGAAAAATATGATAGATTCAAAGTGTATCATTCTAGTTATACCTTTGTGTTCTTATTGAGTCATTCATTCGATTTTTCACGAAAATTTTGACATTTGGTCAAAAAAATGCCCTCGATAAGTCATCCAACGTAACGGTTCCGACAAATTTTGATAGAAATACTGAATATCTCTTATTCGGTGTGTTTGAGTCCGTAACTTTTTCTGGCTTCATAAAAAAAATCCCTGATTACTTAATGTGTGTACCAAAATTCTGTAACGGGGCCGTCCCTAAATTACCTAACGCTCTAGGGGGGGGGGGGGGGGTCAAGTAGAGCGTTACTCTATTTTGTGTTTACGCGTTAAGGGATAGGGACCTACGTCACAAAAGTGTTACGAAGGGAGGGGGGAGGGTCCAAAATGCCAAAAAACTGCTTTACGTAATTTAGGAACGGTTCCAATCACCCTCAGCTCTATGGGGGAAAAATCCCCGATCATGCATGCTTCAATTCCCTGACTGCGAAAAATTTCTCTGCGGGCTGAATATGAAATTGATAGACAAAACAGACACAATCAAACACAATGAGTATGGAGTGATCGTATTGGTTTCCATAGACTGAGGGAGAAAATGATGGAATAACTATGGGGTCTCTCGTGGGTTGCCGTTCGTAAGCCTATTGCCTACCGCCTTCCTCCATTGCAAACACCCGCTTCCACCAATCGGATCCCTTCAAATCCCTTTTGTCTTCTTTGTCTACAGCTTTGTCTATCAATTTCAATAATTGACCCGCTGGAAAGAAAGAGAGGGAGAAAACCCGCATGATTACAACATCGAGACAACACGATGGGAGTTCGACTGCAGTTCTTGATCGGGAAAATCGCTTTTCCCTGACTTGAGGAAAACGGTTTTTTGAAATTTTATCATTTGAAATCTGCACAAAACTTAATTTTGCAACCTGGCCTCTCTCGACGATCCGACGGCATCGGGCACTGGTATGCTTAATGACCAAAAAACCCGGGGTTCAAGTGATCCGGACGGTCCCCTCGTCTGCCGAGATAGCGAAGAGAGCAGTAAGGGCATTCCTGTATGAGCCATGGTTAGCACACGCTTTTATGGGTCTCGAGGTTCATCCCAGCAAGCACTTACTGTTCTTTTCGCTATCGTGTCCCCCCTCTGCGGTAGATGCTGATGCAATAATCCGCTTGTCACCGATATCGACGATAGAGCAAGTTACCGCGAATAGACATAACAGGCGAACGCGCCGCGAGACGCCACAGACGCAAGGCGCAGGCGCAGCCTCGGCGCCATTGGGACAAACTTCGCCAATCCATCTTGTCCATTTCCCGTAAATATATTATCTCCGCAAGACATCGCTAAATAAATAGAATATGCAGATTCGAGTGTTAATGGTGGGCTCCAGTGTGGCTTTTCGCTAATAATCTCTCTGCTTTGGCTTTGATTTACGGATTATGCGACCAGCGCTCCGACTCCCCTTCACCCCTCGTCCTCCGCCTCCCGTAACCAGCACCGCGCTTAGCTAACGTGAACCAGTTGCAAAATTTCATCGGGAATCAAATTTTGAAATTTCGCGAGTGATTGGATTGTATTTTGCAATAAGGAACACTGGTAAAAAAAAAAAAAAAAAAAAAAAAAAAAAAAAAAAAAACATTGGATCTAGAGTCCAGACTCTTGAAAACATTGACAAGAAAAAATACTCCTGATTCAATCGGATTTTTGCTTGAATCAAAAAGAAATCCGCTTAGATTAAGAGGCTTAGTTCTTGATTTAAGCTTAAATCTGATTGAATCAAGAGTACTTTTTCTTGTCGATGTTTTTAAGAGTCTGGACTCTAGATCCAATGTGGTTTTTTTTCCAGTGATCTCTGACTCTCCCATAAAAGCACATATCTGCATATAGGGAAACCAACGGCATGTATTTTGTTTCTGTAATGAGCCAGAAATAGTGGTTCCTTATTGCAAAATGTGATCCAGTTCATGTTCAATAGATAATCGTGATTATTTTTGGGGAAATCCACGCGTGAGATTACAAAGGCATTCTGACAATTTGAGAGGTATAGTAGTACCCTAGTATTTACCCTAGTAGTAGTATTTTCAACTTCATTTGTTCAGAAATAAAGGTGAACTAGCTGCTCCGGACGCCCTACGGGCGCCCTCCACAGCTAGCAATGGTGGTGCAGTACCTTAATTGGAATCGGAGCAATTAGTTGAATCTACTTAATAATGATGAATAAAATGTCTGTAACAATACGTGTTGTTAGCAATACGCAATACTGCAGTTAATAAGTCAGGGTCAGTCAAGCCGCAGAGAATAAGATGCCAGGATATCAAGAAGCTGTGAGGCGGAGTAGCCGAGGGATGGCGAAGGAATGTGGGTGGCGAGTGACGAACTGACGAACGACGATGCGACCCAAACTTCCTTCTTTGAGGTTGGTGGAAGGAGAGCTATACGAAAGAAAACGGAGATAGCCGAAAGAACGTGGTGGGAGGGGTGGCTGAGACCCTAGAGGGGGTATCTAGGGACGGGCAAGCAGGTAGCGGCCGGATGACCGCTCAAAACAGCTGAACTTTACTCGTCGATAAAAGTAAGAAAATTTGAGAAAATCGAAAAAACAATTACAGCCTGCAAATTTACAGATCAGAAGCTTTCATTTAAAAAAAACCCCATGCAAATCGGTCCGATGGTTCTCTCAAAGTTAATGCCCCAAAATGCGGACTTTAGTCTGAATAAATGGGAGAAAATTTGAGCCCAGCTAAACTTCACTCGTTGATAAAAGTAAGACAATTTGAGAAAAACGAAAAAACGACCACAGCCTGTAAATCTACAGATCACAGGCTTTCATTTAAAAAAACCCCATGCAAATCGGTCCGGTGGTTCTCTCAAAGTTAACGTCCAAAGATTCGGACCTCCGTTTTAATGCATCGAAGACAATTTTAGAAAATTATGGGAGAAAATTTGAGAAAATCGAAAAAACGATCACAGCCTGCAAATCTACAGCTCAGGGGCTTTCATTTAAAAAAAATCCCATGCAAATCGGTCCGGTGGTTCTCTCAAAGTTAATGCCCCAAGATTCGGGACTTTGCATTTTAATATATAGGATTCCAGGATCTATTAAATTAAAGTTTGTGTGTATGATGTCATTAAGTGAGGTTTCAAATCAAGCTTTTTACACCGGCCCCCTATACTGTCATCAAATAAAATGCACAGATTATTCTATTCTTTTCATCTCTCTATTCCAGTCGGCGTTTGTTGTTTTATTCGGAATTCCAAAATGATCACCTCTGGGATTTGTATATTACGAATTCAAATCGGGTCATTCTAATTTCAAATAAATACAAGTAGATAATTACTATACATTCTTTTAAAACATGAATTTTTAGGTCCCAAAACGAACGTCTGATAATTAAGATAGCCAACAGACGGATAAGTGTGATCAAACGAAACAATTAGCCATTGATTTATTAAAAAATGAAATTTGAATGTGGCGCTCGTTAAAATTTGCGGGTTAATTTTCAGAACAGTTTCCGGGAGTTTCTCTGAAATTTCTTGGTCATCCATCTGCAAAGAAATCCAATCGCTAAATTCAATTGAACTTATAAATAGATACGTAAACCCTATTCCAAACTGTTCATTGATTGGACCCTCCAAAATAGAGACGCTAAAATTGTGAAATAAAACCATACCAAAAACTTATACGAATCAGTGAGAACGAAAACACACCAACTCGGTAACTCCAAAATGCTCGCTTTTCATTAAAGAGAGTCAGTTTTTCATAGAGGTCATTGAAGTTAACGCATCTGTCCCAATTTGGACCTTTAAAGTGTTCATAAGTACGTGTGTTTCGGCACCGAAAATCTTTTCCTTGTGCTAACTTCTTTAACTGCTGCGCAGTTTTGCGAGTGTCTGATTATTTTCATTTTTTCGAGTTGGTGTGTTTTCGTTCTCCGATTCATACTTCTCTCGGTGTAAAATGCGCGGTTTTCCAGCCCCACGTGACAACAGTGCATCAGCGCGCGCAGCGGGCTCAATCACCCGTAGATGTCATGTGCGCTTGACCAACATACCACTGCTCATTTGTACTCATAATTAGATCGACACAATTTTAATACTTTATTATATGATATTTTTTTCTTGTGTTTTCCTGCGTCCGCTGATTC